TAAACACAGCTATTAGCTTCATTTGGCATTTATTGGTTACAGAGACAATTTACAACTGCTAAGGCAGCGGTATTATTATGCTACATGGAAAGCTGATGGCACAAGATATATGCTGCTCCTTTGTCCTGATGGGGCTTACCTAGTTGATAGAAGCTTTAAATTTCGGAGGGTCCAGATGCGTTTTCCATGTAAAAACATGACAGATGTATGTGGAGAAGATCTAATAAATTTGTTTTACTTTTATACCTGAGTAATTGAGCTTATATGGTCTCTATATATTTTACTATTATTATGTTGGCTGATGCTTGTTTTTCTTGATTTATTTGAGTCTCAGCTTCACCAGTATACTTTGCTTGATGGAGAAATGGTTATTGATACTATAAATCCCCAGAGGCAAGAGAGGAGATACCTGATCTATGATTTGATTGCTATTAATCGTGTGTCCCTTGCTGAGGTTGGGTATTCAGCTTTTACTAGTTTGCTAAATTTCACCGTCTTTTTGATGTTGATTATCTTATTCTTTGAGTGTTACTCATTAAGATGATTCTTTTTATTGTGAAAGAATAAGTTTTAATCTGTACAGATAAAACGGCATGGAGGTACTTTGTTCATGTGTTGTTGAGTGCCTCAATATATGAATGTAGCATTGAACTTGCATTATTGTTTGGAAAATATAAGAATTTGGATTTTTATTCACTTGATGTAATAAGTGAGCAGATGAGAGGGGAATTTGCAATGTTGGTCTTGTTTTATCTGGTAACTGGATATAGAATGTGATTACATTCACTTTGAATGAGGTTTCATCACTATATTACTGGTTGCTATACGTCAATATGTGAGGGAAGGGTGCTTTAGGGAGTAGTATAATATAATTCCTCCATTTTGTTTAGTTGACACTTTTTTTTTCTTTTTTCTTCCCTACTTTTTCCAAAGCACTATTTCAATGATTAATATCTCTAAAATATATAAGTAAAAATTCCACTCTTTTAAACTCTCCTGAATTTTATTTGTATATTTTCTATCATCCACTTTACACACTTTTTCCAACTTTTATTCAATTTATTATTTTGCGATGATCTTTTTCCTTTTCGGACGGTTCCTTATGATTCATGTTAGCCAACCCTAAATCATTTTGGAATTAAGGCTTTGTTTTTGTTGTGTCAATAATTTAAAATTATAAAAAGTTGATATTATGAAAATATACTTTGATATGGTTCTAACAATACCCCACATGATTTATATCCCTCTTCCTAACCTGTCCTATTTATATAGTTATCTACAAAACTATCTAGCTAATTTACTCCTACTGATAGTTTGGATATAAAAAAAAATAGATTTGCTTTAAAATTTGAATTACTTTCCACTGTATATGCTTACTATGGCTTACAACTATCAGCCACTTCAGATGAAATTGGAATGCATTAATAAACTAATAACCAGCTTTTTTCATCCCATTGATGAAAAAGCTACAGTTTAAACATGGCCCATCAATGATCTGCATCAGGTTCTCCTTAGCCCTTCCCCATAGGACCATGACCATGACCATGACTTGACCCTCCTTGCTAACAATTTTGAGTGTTTGCAATCCTGCTGCCCCAAACAGCCCAATAGCCCATCTACCAGGTCAATTCTACATGCGATTCACATTGGTATTTAGCCATGCTAATCAGTAATGCATGGAGTTATATCCATTAGGTGTTCAGTGTAATAACATTTTGAAGTTTGTTGAGATCTAAACCTTTGTACAGCAGAGATAAAAGATCTATTTATCTAACTTTATAATTCTGACTATATATGGCTCACAAGGTTCTCATTATTGTGTACCTTGCAGAGGCCTTTTTATGAGCGTTGGAAACTGATTGAGAAAGAGGTTGTTGAGCCACGTAATCAAGAGCGGCGGAATATGGACACAAATGGCAAACCACTTTACAGATATGATCTAGAACCATTCAGGGTATGTACAATTGACATTCTAGACGCTATCAGGAAACACAGTATGTTTAATACTGTATTTGGCTCCTCTTATGCCTGTTCATAATGATACTATTCCAAATGTTTCAGGTTAGAAGGAAGGACTTTTGGTTGCTATCAACAGTTGGGAAGCTTTTGAAGGAATTTATCCCTAACCTTTCACATGAAGCTGATGGTCTTGTTTTTCAGGTACTCTGATTGATTTTACAGTGGTATACATATACCCATTTTTTTGTTTAAGAGCGTATGGGCTGACATAAATGATTTTAGCTTCCTTAGGGTATCACTTTTCCTATAAATTTTTTCTTTCCCATTTGGTTCAAAGAGTATAGAACTCATGTCCTCAATCTATGAAGCAATTTATTTTCTATATCAAGATAAGTCAATTACTTATGAGAACCTGAGTATTTGATCGAGCACAAGTGCACAACCGCATCACATTTGCAATGTCAAGGTTTCTGATCTTTCTGCAATTGTGGACGTGTGGTATTAGGCCATGATAGCTGTAAATCATTTGATTTAACAGCAAAAGTGCTTTATTACCATTTTGCAATTGTATCCGGCATATAAAATCTTGTGCAGAAACTAGCTTGTAGTTGCAGCTTTAGAATAGCTTCAATAAAGACACCATAAAAACTGGAGCTTCTTTTATAGAATGAACTGCTAATGAAACCATCTTTCACACTTAGGTAACCTGTCCTTTTTGTCCTTGTTTGTAGCTGTCTGGTGTGAATTAAGGTTGCACCTAACTCTTCGAAAGAGGGGTAATGATCAGTTTCAGAGAGAAAAGTCCATATCAAGAAGTATCTAAATGTGTAACGTGATTCAGAGATTATTCTCCTTGTGACATCAACTATATTGGCTTGCATGAAAAAATCCATCTTATTGCTCCTATTTCCTGATTAATAGACCTACTTTTCAATTATTAACCTTAAATCTGAAGATGCATTTCTTTCTCTAAAGCAAAGGTCAATGTATGCTTCAGTGATGTATCAATTGTTGATTTATTCCAGTTCGGCTGTGGGTTTTTTTTTTTTTTTTTTTTTTTTTTTTTTTTTTTTATAGAGAGAGGGGGGGGGGGGGGAGGGTTTCGAGGTATATCACTTGTGAAGTGGGAAATTGGAGGTGGTTGCATTCTCATTCCACTGTTTATAATAAGCTCATGTCTGTATTGTGGCCATGGCTAAGCCTTAAAATTATTAAAGAAAATATGGCTCTTGTATTTTGCGGCTGGGTTTGTTTCTTTTGAACTATTGGAGCTAGTAACTTGTGCATTTCAATTGTGCATGCTCTAATTTTTGGCCTTTGACAGTGGATTTTAATTATGAGGTTTGTGGTAGATTCAAAAGGGATTTATCTGTCATTCTGATCCTAGGATAGAGTGGGCTGCTTAATGTATGGTTTGGTTCATTTTTCTTTTTGTGAACTTCAATGCTAAAGTTCTCTTTTATTAAAATAGTTAAATATTTATAATTTCAAAATATTATTATTAATGCTTTGAGATTGCTGTTTTCTTCTTTTAGCCTCACTATCTTCTACAGTTCTACGCATATGTATGGGAGCTATTTCAGTATTTGTCATTTTTTGTTTTTCTGATGACTCCTCTCCCTAAAAATCCTGAAATGATAATTATGCATCTGTTCTTCTAATAATCAGGGGTGGGATGATCCCTACGTTCCCAAGACGCATCAAGGCCTCTTAAAGTGGAAATATCCTGAAATGAACTCAGTTGATTTTCTCTTTGAGGTAATGTCTCGAGCCTTTTACCTTTGTCTTTTATAAAGGAAACAATAGTATATGTGGCAATATGTGTGCATGAAATCTCTCTTGGAACACATTCAATCAAAATATTTTACTTGTTAAATGCAGGAATTTCAGGTGATCCGTCTATTCAACACTGAGTAAAATATTATTTTACTCCGAGTTGAACAAAGGCGCATTTGAATTCCCAGTTTCTTTAACGGATATGCTAATGATCGAAAAGTTTCTTGATAACTTTTGTTGGCAGATAGGAGAAGACGGCACTGAAAACCTTTATCTTTACGATCGAGGAAAAAAGCGATTGATGGACAATAACAGGGTTACATTTGGAGGTATATATATTCATCTAACAAAGCTTTTTATTTATGCAAATTTTCAATTTTTTTTTTTAATCTGTGAAGTATTAAAAATTCCTTTGTTCCCCCCCCCCCCAATGTTTGCACAGTGGTATTTAGCTGACTCTTTTCACCATATTTTTTTTGTTTGCAAATAACCAAACTACTTTATAGTTGCAGCTGAATATGTGAATGAAGTATGTTTAGATTGATTCTGGTGCTTCTGGTTTATGTTGTTTTTAAATTATTTTTCCACCTTGACTTGTTGGATTCTATTTCCATGAAAATGAAACATAGTAGCCTTTGTTTTGGTGCTATTACTTTGGACTAGTTAAGCAGTATATGGAGCCTATGTTTGTGGTTGAATGCAATTTTAGAAAATTTTGAATTTGTACTTGTTCGTGCTTCAGTTTGTGGTTGAATGCAATTTTAGAAAATTTTGAATTTGTACTTGTTACGATGCTTGGGTATTTTAGAAAACTAGTCCTTGTAAAGCAGTCGCGGGAAGAAGAGGCAGGAATCAACTAGGAAATTTGGAAGTGGGAACCCTTAACCATTGCTGGGATGCACTGTGTGAAAGTCAATTTAAACGAGTGGATTAAGAGAGTTCGTGCTGTATTTGTAATCAAATGTATGAAAAGAGGTTCTTATTATAGCTAGAAATCTAGAATGCAGTTCTAAGTAATGTAATGTGCTGGGTAATTAGAAAGCAAAGAAATTTTAGTTCTAGAAACATGGAGATTTGGAGGGGAAAACAATGAAGAATGTTGTTGGGTGAATTATTTAGTTATTTGAGGAGAGAATGAACCCTCAATCTTGAATGTATTTTACATTGTTTTGTAATTCCAGATTTTAAATTACTTTCTTCCTAAATTTCTGGTCCGGTTTTGCTAGTTTATAACATAAATTTGATGAGGATGCAAGTTTCAAAATATAGGGGCACTAGGCTGTGCTTTTGACTGTTGGTATATAATCTCCCCATGTTTTTGGTTCCGTTGGGTGATGGAGAGAATAAGATACCTAGACAAGTACTTCCTCCGTTTTATTTACTTGCAACAAACCACTTTGCCACACACTGTGGAATAATTTTATCACCGATAAGAAGGAAGTGTAAAGTTGTTGCGGTTTAAATTTTATAGGTTAATCTGTCTGTTTCAGCTCCTCAAAATAGCGTGCCAAGGTGTGTTGCAAGTATAAAAAAAAAAAACAGAGGAAGTGTTATACTTTAGTTTTTGCTTAAATAGCTTTATATAAGTAGGTAAAATTTGGACATCAAAATGTTTCAATATCATGGGCTAGAGTTTTATGACATTTATTTGAATTAAGTATTTACAAAACATATATGTGGACTGTATATGCGACCAATAGAGTTGGAAAGACATTCATCAACTTGAAATAATATCTTAAACTTTTAAAACTAAATTTTTTGGCAAAAAACATTTTATTTGTGTAATTGATTTCTCCGACAATCTGATCCTCTGAGCTTTTGGTGACACAACATCCTTTCAGTTTGCATTTACCTCTCGTGTCTCGTCACACCTTTATATAGATTTGTTATTTGGTGGTCTCGGTAGTTAATAAGGTGCTGATGTGACTTTCAGTTCATCTTCTTCCATACGCTTTTGCAGACTCTTAATGTTAGTCAAATTTGATTACATGCAGATGATGTGGATCCCTCTACCTACTCTGGTAAGATTGTCGAATGCTCGTTTGATTCCGAGGAAAACATCTGGGTTTGCATGCGAGTCAGGATTGATAAGAACACTCCAAATGAATTCAACACCTACAGGAAGGTCCAGCACAAATGTTAAACTTAATTATGTCATTTCGTGGGGTAATTCTTTGTACTTTTCCAACTCAATGCGGTAATAGTAATGCCTTTTTACTGCATTTCGCAGGTTATGAAAAGTATAAAGGACAATATAACTGAGGAGGTGCTGTTAAACGAGATAGGAGAGATCATTCGCTTACCTATGTATGCTGATAGGATTCAAAGTGATAGCAGAGCCATGAAGAAAGGGAAGCCGCCACCACAGAGAAGGTGAATTGGAAATTTGTGTTGCCAGCAATGGTTATTTAATTTGGATGACCTCGCAGCAATTGTTTGTGTAATTAGGCATATTGGTAGCTTGTATTTTATTATTACATAATTGTTAGTTGAGGGATTGAATCTTCGTAGGTAGTTAGAAGATGTAGTCCTTAAAAAAATTAGATGTAGTAATAGGTTATTTGTGTATATTGTCATCATAAGCTCTCTTATCTTCTCTCTCCGTGTTCCGCGACTCCTGTCTAAATAACGTCTTTCTTTTATTTTAATCACTTTTTTTCGCCCTTTTTGGATAAGGGGAGTTTTGAGAGAGAGAGAAGAGACCATTTGGTCTGTTGCTAGTACCATCTATTTTAACTTGAAGGGTTCGCCCTTGTAGCTAAACTAGTCCTGATGTCATATACCTAACTAGGTTCCATATTTTATTTAGGTTGCTATGCCTTAAGAAAGGTGTAATGTTTGCCTTTTTAAAAGGAGAAAAATAAAAAAACGAAAGGCTTAATGTTATTCTGTATTTGTGTTCCCCTATATTGAGGTTTATTTAGAGTATACAAATTTATGATTTTTTGATTCTTTTTTAAAGAAGAAATTAATATTAGTTGAGAGATCAATGGAAAAGTAGGATTAACTCAGCTCCCAACTATCTTACTCACCTGCTAATAAGTCTGAAACAGAACGTAGCGGTGGCTTGCTGGTGGCCTTCTCTGTTCCTTTGGTTGCCGGTGAGTTGCCTTTGGCTTTTAGGAGCAGCTGGTCCCAAAATGTGTAATTTTATGAGATTTCAGCATTTTCTAAGAAAATAACCTGATGGTATGTGATGATTTGCTTAATGTTTAATCTTTGTATTTCGTTTAGGTTTAGCTGTCAATGTATGTCTCATTTTAGTCATTAGTGTCCATTATTTCTAGTTTGCTATTGAAGTGGCTCGTTTGGACCGTATAAAGGATTATGAAAACTCAAGGTTTTGTAGAGGCTAACTCTTAAATATGAGAGCTCGTAAATGAGAACACCCAAGCAATGATGCACACAAACACGTGCAGTTGCACCATCTCTAAATCCACCAAATAGCGATTCCAACTTCGATTAGTTGGATTTTTTCTGGAATCCATAGATAGCCTCTAAGTTTGTTAGCGTCCACTGGGTGTAATCCTCTTTAAGGAAGTTCGAGTTATTAATAGCATCTCTTAACAATCTTGAAGGATCGCCCACAATTAGCATTATTGAGCTTACGATTTAAACAAAATAGAGGTTTTTTTTTTTTTTTTTTTTTTTTTTTTTTTTTTTTTTTCTTCGCTATTAAAACGCAGCAGTGAGGCACAACTCTAAAATACGGAGAACTTACTAAAAAAATCTAACACCATTTACCAATTTTTCCTCTTAAAAGATATTCTTATGGGCTCGATTTTTTTTTTAAACATTATTAAATAAAATGGACTACTCCCTCCGTCCCCAAAACTTCGACCCTTTTGGGATGATTTCGCGGTTATTAAGAAACTTAAATAAAAAGAAATAAAAACATATTGGAAAGATAAATTTACATTGGGTTTGTAAAAAAGTAGAAAGATAAAGTATTAAAAATACATGAAAAAACAAAATTTTATATGAGAGCTAATTTTGCACAAATATTGTTGTAAATTGGTGGGTATTTTAATGCAAATGGGTCGATCATTTTAGGACTAAAATTAGGCCAAAAGGGTCGAAATTTTGGGAACGGGGGGAGTACGTATTTAATTAAATAAAATTTTCATACTCCCTCCGTCCCCGAAAAAACGACCCATTTGGCCTAATTTTAGTCCCAAAAAGAATTACCAATTAGTATTAAAATACCCCAAACCTGTCTCCCTCTTCTCTCTTTTCTCTCTTCTCTCTTCTCTCTTCTCTCTTCTCTCTCTTCTCTTTAGGGTTTTAATTTTCTTGGTCGTTCAGGCCGGAAATAGTCTAATTTCTTCGGAAATTAGACTATTTCCGACCCTTTTCTTCAATTTAATTTGCTTTTTTGTTATTTGATTTGTTTTGCTTTGTTTTGTACTCTCCGTTTGTGAGAGTCTGTCCCAATTTTTTTTGGGGTTTTCCCAATTTTTTGGGATTTTGATTCTCGTCTATGGATGAGAATTTTATTTTTAGGGTTTTAATAATAATTGAGAAGGTGATTTGGATTCATATGGGTTTAGGGTTCGTCATCAACTCTACGATCAAAACATTAGCGCAGATTGCGAAGGTCTCTACTTGGAAAGATGCAAAGACATCGAAAATCACTACTCGCGTCAAGTTTGAAGCGGTGGAGTGTGAGCTATGCCCGATATGCAAATTAGTTATGATTTTGATTGTAAAAGTCATGTTATTTTCTCTAGATTTGTGGTTTACAAATCTTTATTATTGTTGTAGATGTCGTATGGTTATTTATTAATGATAATATTCTTCTTAAAAAAAAAAGCATTAAAATATTCACCAATTTGCAATAATATTTGTGCAAAATTAGCTTCCCCATTTAAAATTTTGTTTTCCCATGTACTTTTATTACTATCTCTCTCTATTTTTTTGTAAACCCCATATAAATTTATCTTTCTAATGTACTTTTACTTTTTTTTATTTAACTTTATCAATACCTGCAAAATCAACCCAAAATGGTCGTTCTTTCGGGGACGGAGTATATCATAATTTCATACTACAGCCATAATGTACTCTAATGTCTTATTTTCTTCGAAACATTGAAATCTTGATGAATTTGTCAGGGATTTTAATTTTCAAATAAATATTTTAGAATTTTTTGTAATATGTACTGAAATTATATAACCTCCATTTCATATTTGTTAACCCATTTCATTAAGCAAGTTTGCCAACAAATACTTTTAAATGTAAATATCTTAAATTTTGTATTAGCAAAATAATAAAAATTTGATATTTATTTAAATTTCATGTTGATATCCTGTATTAACATCTTTTGTTAATATAGGCGTATACTCGTCATTTTGCCTGCTCATGTTGGGGCTAATATTGTAAAGTCATGTGGGACCAATTTACATGTTGAGACAAATCGCCCCACATAACTATATACTCCCTTCGTGTTTTAATAAGTATTACATTTTGACCAAACACGCATGTCGAGACAGGACTTTGACCATTAATTTATCTAACCATATGTTAATAAAATTATAAGAAAACTAATATTATGAAATTATTCGTTATAACGAATCTAACAATGTATTATACAATAACATTGGTTTTTTTATATATTAGTAAATTAATCAAGTCAAATTCATTATGTGAATAGTGAAAAAAAAGTCAAAATATATCACTTATTAAAACACGGAGTATATTCTTGCACTAAATCATACATAGAGTCAAAATAAGTTAAGTGAATAGTGCACAAAGTCAAAATTGTGTCAATAAGAAAAGGAACAGAGGAAGTAATAGTTACAATATTGCATTGAAAAGTGTGCAAAAAATAGAACAAACATTAAAAATAGACGGAGTTTGTGTTAAAATAAGACATTTAGCCAAAAAAGTTTATTCTAAAAATCAATCAACTAACCGAGGCATGGTTTGAGCATAAAACTAGTTTAATATTAAATTACTAATAATCAAATAAAGGTAAAAATTGTTATAAACTATTTTTTTTGTCCAACCGTTTTTTAAAAAAATCACCTTTTATGTTTATTTATTTATTTATTTATTTTTTTGACAGCCGATAAAAAGGTATTAGACCCCATTAAGCTTACAGTTATGCTTACAGTTATTAATACTAAAACAATGAAAATTTGGAAGCAGATTTTTAATTCTGTGAATTTTGTAACGAAAATGAAAGGCTCCTGCAGAGTCTCCCTGTAACCACTTGGCAGGATTGCTGCTTGGAGCATTTGTCTCTATATGCCACAGTTGCTGTCTCAGGGCTGTAGTAACTCCACCTAGCATAGCATCCACCATACTGCTTGAAAAGCCCTACTGCACGTGCCCCTCAACATTGATATTGCTCTCACCAGGTCTTGTGAGCTTCCAGGTCCATTGTGTCCTGCTCCTGCACTTAAAATGCTGAATATCAAGGGTAGCAGTGACACACTCACAACTCTCTGCAATTAGAATTATTCTTTCCTCGAGCTGATGTGACTTCCTGCTATTAATCATTGCCTCAAAGCCTGATGGAAAGTCATCATCTGCACCTGCAATAACATCTCCCACATCCCTGCTGCTGCTGTTCCTATATGATCTTGCCTTATGTTCCATGAGTTTAACTGTTGCCCAAGCGTTTTGTTTGTTACCCTTGAAGACCAAGTTGTTCCTCGCTCCCCAGATGTTTTCTAATCCAGTAAGGAAAACGGAGTAACTCTCCTCCAACCCCCTTGCCTTGTCACACAAAATTCTTTGCCAATTGTGGATCCAAAGTGGCTATAGGAATATTGATCTAGTAAGCTACATTGATGCCCAAACTGCAGCCCTTCCAAACATGACTAGCAAAAGTACAGTCCCGAAATAGATGTTCCAGAGTTTCCAGATGGCCTAGCTCATTCTCATTTCCCACATAGCACAGAACACAGTGGTGAGAAGTGCCTAGTCCTCTCTTTTTCCTCTCACTTCCACCGGTAAGGCACCTTGGAGAATCTTCCAAAGTAAGATTTTCTGCCTCGGACTTCCTGGAAATTTCCAGAAATTCTTCCAGTTGATGCTATTAGTAATACCCTGCTGGTTTTGAGTACCATTCGGCATTCGCCCTTTGCATCTTAGCAAAAAGAATTTTATAACCACTCTTCACATAGTAATTGTGTAATACCCGAATATTTTATAATTTTATATTATATTTTATAAAAAAATAGTTATTTTTATTTATTAAAAAACTTTCTTAATCTCATTTATTTTATTTTTTATTTATTTTTTTATTTTAGAGTTCGGAAAGGTTTAAAACCCTATTTTAATTTAAATAGGACTCTACAATTTTAAGCGTACATAAATATTCTTAAACCCTATAAATATTCCTAAACCCTAACTATTATAAATGTTCTGTTGGTTCATTATTTTCATCCCTTTTGTCGTTTTGTTCCTCTGCGTTGGAACAAGCAGACCTTAAGTCCTTATTATTAAGCCTTCTCATTAATTCATTAAATTAGCATCCTCTTTAATATGTTTGTCGATCTCATATTATTCTTCAATTATGAGATCACTATTTTATCATCAACCCTTTTACTATTCATTCTTGATACAAATGTCACAAGATCACACCAATGACACCATTACCTTTTCCCTTATCAGTTGTCGTGAGTTTCGAGTGGTG